GGAATATGAAAGTACATACTTTCCCTAATTCCTCTTTAAAGTATCAGGTGCCCGAAACATCATATATTCTTTATGAATATTTGAATCGTAATACACTTATCGTCTTCTGGGACTCAACAAATGAAGCTGCACTTACTATAAAAGTTCCAACAAGTTCTAAGATCACTTGCAGATGAGTTACATTCTTGACTGACAGTTGACAACCTAGAAGCATGGGAATGGTTGTTGTTACTTTAGGCATCCCACATAAAGGTCAGTCACTGAGGCTTTAATGTGAAGCCCACCTTCTTTAAATTTGTTTCATCGTTTATTTGTAGCAAAGGGTAGCATATTGGGCATGTGACATTCCTGGATATGTGGCATGCATTGCTATGGTTTGGGAACTCTGAGGCTTCTTCTTGTCTCTGAGGACATCCTTGCCGTATTTCCTACCAGGAACGAAGGGTAGCACATGTGCCTGTGAACTCTGCAATTGTTCAGATTTATTTTAACCTTGCTTTGGACACAGCTTAGAATTATATTCAATATAACCTAATCATCTCCACATGTGCATTATCTTCTCTTGGTCTAGAATCAGTGGTGATATTTACACCTGAGGGTTATAAAGTATTGATTCATTGAAACTGAGTTTCACATCTAATTTTCCATGTAAAGTGGAAACTGCACAACTAAGACCTTTTCAGCGTGTGGATTCTGTGCTAGGGGACAATAATCTGGCTTTGAGACCAGGCTCAAAATTCAGCAGAACAAAATCATGTTAGAATAAGGCTAAGCATTGTAATTCCTTTACAGAGTTCTCAGAGTTGAGCATGATGACAAAGGCCTGTAAATCCAAATATTACAGAGGCTCAGACAGGAAGATTATGAATTAAAGGACAGCTGGAGCCGTTAGCAAGACTCTTGTCTTTAAAATGAATCATTTTGGAATTTGTCAGTTTTTGACAACTTTGAGTTAGAAAGGAAGGAAGGAAGGGGAAGGAAGGAAGGAAGGAGAAGGAAGGAATGAAGGAAGGAAGGAAGGAAAGGAAGGAAGGGAGGAAGGAAACTGAAGCCAGGTTCATTGAGAATAAAGACAAGGAAAACTGAAGTGGGCTGATGAGAAGCAAGGCAGGATGGGAGAGCCTGCTCTGCAGCTGGCTTGCCTTGTCTCTTGACCTTTCACTTGATAACTTCTTCCCTTTAGGGTTTGGAGAGAGCCCTCCAATTTCTCTAGCTCCTCGGAGGTCAAGGGTTCAGTTTATTTCAGCGTTCTTCCCACCCTGTTCCGTATTTAGAAAAGACAGTGAGACAATCTGTGTTTTATTGCTTCCTCTGCTGATAAGATTTCCATTCATTGTATAATCTTGCTTTCCAGGAATTCATTATTGAACATAACTGTAACTCTGAGACTGTGGTGTTTTCAAAGTTTATTCCAGAAGCAACATTCACTGTTGAAAGGTCACATGCTTCTAATTTGTTTTCAGTAAATATTTTTACATCTGAAGTATCTTCTGCAGCTTAACAAGTTGTAGCTATCTGTAAAATTATAAAGCCAAAATGAGTCTCAGAAGACTGATAGAGAATGCTCCTACTGCTATTGATTAGTTATGAAGTTCAAGGAAAAACTCAAAAGTTCATAAAAGCAGACCCCTTCTATCACATGCTTTTGGAATTGTTCAAGTCACTGTATTGTGTAGTTTGTCTCTACGCTATCTTTAATTCATGTAGGTGCATGTTGCTGTGGCTTTGGTGATATATTTAAATTACACACTCTTGGTTATTTTCTCCTGTTAAATATTAAACTTCAATGCATATCAAGAGGAAAAAAAGGAGGGAGCACAAAGAGGAAGGAGAGAGAGAGAGAGAGAGAGAGAGAGAGAGAGAGAGAGAGAGAGAGAGAGAGACATAGATGTCTACAAATGAGTTTAAAACATTGACTGCATTGACTGAGATACTGGAAGAAACATTTAAGTAAATTTTAGCATTTATCACTACAATTTTATAGTGTCAATTTTTCCTCCTATTGGTTCCATGAGTCCAGACAACATAAACAGATAATTACTGATAATTTTAATTCAAAATTTGAAGTGATATATGGTATTAGATGTTTGTCAAAAGTAAAATGCATCTGTCTACTTTTTGATTTAAGACAAAAGTTTATTTTTTATTTTTTAAACCTTACAAAATCATCGTAGGTAAAAAGAAATCACACATCCAAATTAACTAGACCCAAAGAATATACAACTAAAGTAACTTTTATACAGTTGGAATGGCCATTTGAAATAGAACTGTGGCGCTTCTCGCTGGATTTTATATTTTCACTATCAAATAAGTTTTATGAACTTACCAATCACCAAAAATGAAAAAAACTCAATGACTGAGTTCTAACTAGAAAGGCAATTGTTTTCCTTGCTGTAGTGCGTCTTTCATTAATTATCATTTTACATTTTCATACTTGATATTCAGATCAAAACAGAAACTGTAAAATGATTTTAAAGAAACTATCAATTTTAGAGATGAAACTGTTTATATAGCTTCATTCACATTTCTATGATCTTCAACCTTTTAATCTGTACATATATAAGACTAAAACAAACCATCCTAAACTCTCTGGATTTTTGAGGTTAATTGATAATAATGCTTTTTTCTCCGGTCCTTTTATGCCAAAACTGAATTTAAATATCAAAATATCATTTGATATTTTGAAAGGGAAAACCTTTAAATAAGCCAGATAGTTAAAATTTACCTACATGTATAACTATAGAAACAATATATATAAATATGTATCTATAAACTTTGTTTATAAGTATATTACTTCTATAAACTATAATCAAAGACATTAACTCATACTTAGTAAGTAAAGGCATTTAAATTTTGCCTCTGATAACTTCTGCTAAGAAGCTTATCAGAAACTTTTAGGCCAATGCCCTTACTTTTAATTACTAGTCTAGACTGAAGCATCCTTAATGAAGTCCAGTGGGCCATCCCAGGGTAGGGCTGTCTAATAAAATGCAGTATGAAACTCACATGCAATTGTTCAGAAATGTAGCCATGTAACTCAAAATATGCAGAGTATTATCATTCAAGCATATTACTAGTAAAAAATAGCACTCCTTAATTTTTAAATTTAAATGCATATCAATAAAACGAAATCGCTGGGTGGTGGTGGCACATGCCTTTAATCCCAGCACTCGGGAGGCAGAGCTAGGCGGATCTCTGTGAGTTTGAGGCCAGCCTGGGCTACCAAGTGAGTTCCAGGAAAAGGCGCAAAGCTACACAGAGAAACCCTGTCTCGAAAAACCAAAAATATATAAATAAATAAATAAATAATAAATAATAAATAAATAAATAAATAAATAAATAAATGAAATGAAATCAACTCAAAATTCAGTTGCTCAGTTTAATTAACCACACTTGAGTCACTCAGCAGCCACATCAGAAAAGATAAAGCAGTTCCTTTGTAGGCATCTTGGCGGTCATTTGTTATGTAAAATTGTCAGGAAACCAAAGTCAGGTGTCAGAGGAGGGTTTAGTGTGGATTTTACATTGATTTCTTTTGGAAGAAGAAGAAACTCTTTTTTTTTTTTTTTTTTTTTTTGCCTTTAAGGGAGCTATATCTAAACAATGAAAAGTTTCAATAAGATATGAGTTACTAGTTAGAATTTACTTTTAATTTTCAGTTAGTTATACATAGGAAGATAATAAAGATACTGCATCCTTTTGGGGAAAAATGGTTTTTATTGCTTAAAATGGCTTATAATTAGTATATATATGATTCCAACATAACTGGTGTGTGGAAATGTGAAAGTCAGGGAAAATGTCATTTTAAATTATAAAAATGCACTTAAATCCAGAGCAAAAAAAAAAAAATTAAAATGTAAGTACATTTGATGTATGTGACTCAAATATTTCCTTTTTACTAGATATTCCTAACTTTCCTGACTGCTCTGAGATTCTCCATTTGTTCTTACATAAAAACTCGGAAAATTTTCATTTGGAAGAGTGTGACATAAAGGAAGTCAATGCTTTAAACAGAACACCTTTTATTTGTATTGTGGTTTGCACAAGTTGCACTGTGTCAATTCACTACTTCTTCCCAGTATTGTTTACTAGCCAATGTTGAGGCTTCACATGTGCTTGTCATGTGGAGTGTTTTCACAAGACGGTGTTTCCAGTGCTTGGAAAAACATTGCTTACTCTATTAGTAACTGCTTCATCCACATTTATAGGGTGAAAAGGTAGGGGTTCCTTTTGAGTGCCGGGTCCTTTTATAGCTGAATTCAGTTTTAGGATGAGTTTGGGCTCTGGAAGGATCTTACTGTGGTGGATCCATCTGGAGTAGTTTAAAGACTGCTCCTTGCAATGTTTAGGGACACCTGAGGACTTAGTCAGCCACGGATGCCCCTAGGGAAAATGTGTGCTGAAGTCGAAGGTTCCGAGTGTCCTTTTTGCACTAACTGCTCAGGGTAACTAAGTCTTCCTAGTCCTGTATCCCTGGAGATCTGTTTGGCCTACAGAGAGAACACTCTTCCTGTTTTCTTAGTACCAGATGACAGTAACTAAGGGACAGTTAATACCTCAGTTACTAACACAAGTAGTGACTATTTTTCACTTCTGAACTCTACACTCATTCAAGGTCATTTATTGCAGTAAGAACCACTCAAATACTGTTATATAAAAGAAAACATATAAAGTACCCTTAAAATGCAGAGCATTTGGAGTGTAGCTGAAGAATGAGTAGGCCAGCAAACCACAGACAAAGAACAAGTTTGAAAGAGGGGAGGGCATATTGTCTCAACCTTAGGAAGAATAAAATCTATCCATAAGTATAGAGTTTTTCCAGTTCTGTATCAATTTATATCTTTTTCATCCTCTCTTCACTAAAGTGATTAATCTGGTAGCAAAGTGACAGAAAATAAAAGTGAAGAGTGATTGTTTGATTTTTAAACTCCTAAAGTCATTTAGGACAAAAAATACTCATTTCTTCATAAAATGATTTCATCTTGCTTTCTGCTCAACAGGGTGGTGGTGATTGTCCAGAAATGAGTATCGGAGCTATAAAAATTGCCTTGGAAATTTCCCTTCCTGGTTCTTTCATCTACGTTTTCACTGATGCACGATCCAAGGATTACAGGCTCACTCATGAGGTGCTGCAGCTCATTCAACAGAAACAATCCCAAGTAAGTAGACATTGTCCCCAGACCTGCTTATCTGAATAAGCACGGAGGGTTGCTTATCTCTTCTGATTATTCTCCGTGTGATAAATATCAATAGTCATAGCCATTTAACCACACATCTACAACACAGTACATAAATGTCATCTAATTCTAATGTAGTCAATCCATATTTATCAATAGCATATTGATACTTTGGTTTTGACTACAAGGAAGAAGTGATTACAGATTAATTAAAGTACTTATTAACATCTTATATTGGTTAGGTCTATATTTCAAATGCCACTTTTTATGTAGAGTCTTTCCTGGGTTATATACTTAGTATTACCAGTTAGTTATTGACATGTAACAAAACTCAGCATAGCATTTTACTTTTACCACGCTAGCACACTTTAGTTAACCTAGGCTACTAATGCTTGCCTAGGAATGTTTAGGTGCTTTGAGTATATTGGCTTTTCTTTACAGATTTCTTTTAAGATTAAGGAGGTGAATTTAGGTATGCCCTTCTTGTGGCCATGGCGGAAACACAGCTTGAACAGAAATGCAAAAGACCTTTTGAGTTGAAGCACAGAACTTATAGAATGTTTTTTCTGCCTCAAGCTTTTGACCAATTAAGCCAGATGACCAAACTCAGATCCAAAGATGACAATATAAGCAATACCTCTTTAGTAAGAAGCTCTTCAAAATTCTTTGCAATGTGTATGGATACATGATGAGATGAGGAGTTGAGGTTACCGGGTAAGCTAGCATAGTTGTGGGCTCACTTCAACTGCCAAACTTGGTCTGAAATATAAGTAACTATGTTCCTGAGCAGGCCCGTGGTTAACCAGAGTATCAGGTTAATAATTATCATAGGCATTTACATCATATTTGCCTACTAACATGTTAGCATGTCATAGATGCTAATCAATATCTATTGATTTCTGAAAAATCTATCAAACTCTCTTCTGCCTTTACAAATCCCAGGTGGTGTTTGTGCTCACTGGAGACTGTGATGACAGGAATCATATTGGATACAAAGTCTACGAAGAAATTGCGTCTACAAGTTCTGGTCAAGTGTTCCATCTGGACAAGAAGCAAGTGAATGAGGTCAGTTGAGTAAAGTAGGTCTACTTTGTTGGCTATTTTGTGAAAATCAGCTAAGCCACTCCAACTGTTATGAGTTTGAGTTCTAAAACAGCTATAACCTGTAGATCTTATCCTTAAGATCTTACATGGGTAATAGCTGATGAACTGACATGAACTGATGCTGAGACAGATTCATTTAATATTAATTTCCAGATTGAATAATGTTACAGCAACAAGACATTTAGGCGCTAAAGATCCAACATTCACTTAGTTTAATAAAATCTCTTCGTACTTCTTGTTGTTTAAAAAGCGAGTTGGTGTTCTTGATGAATAACTTTTAGTTAACAGGTAAAATTAGGCTTGGCCTATTATTGAAGTTTAATGTGAGAAAATTAATTATCAAGCAAAATTCCAATGAGGTTTATTATCCAATGCTAAAAATCCAAACTATGACCAATAACTATAGTTAGAAAAAGACTGACCAAAAAATTCTGTAAATCATTGTAAGAAAAATGTGTTGTTTGAAAAAACTCTTGAAATGGGTCTAATTGTTATGATTTTTCTTTCCTTCTATTATCTTGCCTCAGCTTCACTTGTTATAATAACATTTTGTTTACCTATTAATTTATCTATTTGACTTCTACTTATGTTTCTAGGAACTTGCTAGAACAAAGATAAAGTTTGAGAGAGTATAATTCACATTTAGCTTATTTGGTCTTTGGATCTATACAGTATCTACAGACTTTGTGACAGATACCTTTGTGTTTTGAATGAAATGGCTCAGGAGCTCTCTTCTAATCAAAATTCTCACTATATCTAAGTGGAATCAATACCAAAAAAATCACAACTTTTCAGAAGAAACAATTCAGTAAAAATACTTTTATCAACTATTTATGAGACAAACCTGAATAGTTACTTTAAAAGTTTTCTTAGAAGACATATCTGTTGAGGGGGCAATAACTTGAGCTCATCTTATGTCCCCATTAGTGATCATAAACTCCTGAACAATGCCTACCAACTACAAGATGGCCCCTTGTAGTTAATTTGAAAAAAGAAAGCAAAAACATCCAAAGGAGAAGTAGGAAGCCTGGGGCGGAACTAGGGAAGAGCACAGGGCTCCCAGGAGCTGAATATCTTGTCTCATCCCATACACTGTATTAATAGGCTGAGAAAGGTTCTCCTCGAAAGAAATGAAAAGCTTGCGGGTTGAAGCTGTTTTTAACCTAGATCCTGGACGACCTTAGGGCACATTCAGGATCTCCTGCACAGCGGGGACAGGTGAGGAGTCGAATTATTGTTTCTTGTATCAGTGACGACACTGCAGCTTAAGGCCGGATGCAATTGTGAGTCAGAGGTGATGATGATGTTCCCTGAGACAGAATGTGTATAGAAAACTGAGGCAGTCCCTGGTGGTCACGGTGGTTCATAGGTAAAGGTACTAGAGAAGAGAAGGTATTAGAAAACTTACCATGAGCACACAGGACTTGGAGAGTCCTGGAAAGAACAGGGCTTCCACCCCATTGGTGAGCAGTGAAATACAGTGTATGGTCTTCAAAAACAAGAGAGGAGCCACAGAATTTTTAGCAGCTGAGTTCCAGACCAATGGGGGAAAAATCAACTCACTCGTTTATTACTTTTATTTGTTTCCCAGAACATCAACTGATAGTCAGATTTTTAAATTTAGTTATAGAAGGATCAGAATTTTTTTTAAAAAAAAATGCTACAATTGTCCTTTTTATTTTATTGACTTATTTATTATAAAATAGAGTTTGACAGGAGCGAGGATGAGGCTTGGCTTCTCTGTCAGTCAGTGCCTCTTTAGTCCCCTTGCTGATTAATTCAGGAAAGGGTGTGATGTTTCTTTTATTGTAGATCAATGAGACTCAAAGGCATTTTGGTAGGGGTGACTCAGAAATTCTCTGCTCCTAGATCTTGCCATGCATACTCCTGAATCCTGATCTGATGCTGGCAGCTTGCCAGTTAAACAACTAAAGGACGCTGAACAGCTAAGAAAGCCCAGTCTCTGGGTTCAGTCTCTTAGCTCCTTTTAATGCTAAGTGTCTGTAGTTATGGAAAAGATGCCTTTCTTAGGCCAAATGAGTTGTCAGTTACATAAAATTGAACAAATCCAGAAATCTCATTCATATTTCTTTGTGACATGGGCTTTGTGATGGCTATCTGCCTTGTTTACAAAATGGAGATAATAGAATTTCAATTTTGGGGGGGACTATGACATTAAAAGAGAATGTGGGTGACATGTTCTGCACAAGGTACTGTACAGGGCATGTGATGACTAAATGCTGACTGGCATTGTTTTGGCCCCAAAATATATTTGAATGCTTAGTCATTGGGGAGTGGCACTGTTTGAGAAGGATTGGGAAGTGTGGCCTTATTGGAGGTGGGCTTTGAGGTTTCAAAAGCCCGTGCTCGGTCCGGTTCTCTCGCTCTGCCTGTGGATGTAAAGCTCTTCCCAGCTGCTGCTCCAGCACTGTGCATGCCTCCATACTCCCTATCACGATGATATTGGACTAAACCCCTGACACTGTAAGCCGGTTGCGTTGAGTGTGTTCTTTTATAAGAGTTTACCTTGGTCATGGCGTCTCTTCACAGCGAACGGAGAGTGACTATGACAGGCACTCTAACTCTGGGTGCCGCTTTGCCTTTTCTCTGAGGCCCTTGTGCCACCACGCGTGCTGGAGAACTGACAGCCGAAAAGAACCCTGAGTGGGAGAACCCAGGAAGAGCTGGGAATTTTTTTTTTTTTTCTGGTTCATGAGTGAAGATGTGAAGGTTTGCTGAAACTGTCCAAATCAATAGATACCATAAAGAAAGCCACCAGAATGGAAGATTTGTTAGTAGGAAGCATTGTAACATTGGCCAGACAGGACTTGCAAAAATTTGGGATAGTAAGTTAGTAATTTTTCTTTTTTAATTGTTCTGAATTCTATTATTTTTATAAATGCTACAAATTCTGAGGGAAAATAGATGCTTTCATGCTATGCACTCATTTAACAGATATAAAACCCCAGACACTAAGTCCTCACATTTTATTCATGAGAAAATTTCCATGTACTCTTTCTAAAGGAAACATAAGAGTACTGTGTGTTTTCCTTCATCACCTACTTAACCAGTCTCAGAACCTAGTGGGAGTGCAGCTTCAGTTCATTTGAAGTTTTCATTTTCTGTTCTTCTAGGAGGGATATATGGAGGAACTAGGTATCTTATCTTTCATCTATATTTAACATAAAAGGAAATCCAAAGTGGAATTATTTGGCTGAATACCAGTGACCTCTAAATCACTGTGTGGTGGTTTTTGTGTCTTGAAAACACAGGTTAAGATACATATCTTACTTTACCTTTGAAGACAGAACAGGAACCAAGCTTTATGGTACCCTTTCATTTACTTGAAAGCTGGGTAGTTGTCATCCTAATTAATGTTTGCTTTGATATAAAAAATGTCAGAGGCTATACGCTGTGTCAGAGAAGCAAGCAAAAAGTATGCATTAGGTTATTCACCTGTCATGAGTTCCCCAACCTTGCTCCACATTTCCCACAGTCATGACCTCTACCATCTCATTCTCATTAAAAATGTCTTCCCAGACATCTCAGCCTGGCGGCCTTCTCCCAGTCTCATAAGTGTCAACATCCCTGAAGATGCTATATCTCACTGACAGGGTTGTCAGTACCCATTGCAGTAGAGGACATGATTTACTCAAAGGGACCAAAGGTTGTTTAATGAATGGCAGTATGCCACAGTTTGGGCACGCCTAAGGGTAGCCATCAAGTAATAATGAAGCACAAAGGATGTAGTAAGAAGTATCTACCTATATTCTCCCTGAGTTTGAAGAGGAGGTCCAAAAGTCCTTAAAGACAGGGGTTTCTCTTTTGCTCAAGAGGACGTCAGCAGTTTGCCTGGATGACATCCTGATCCTAGAGAATCATCCAAAGGATAATCCTACTGGTGAAGTGTCATTTTCCCAGTAAATGCTTAAAGGGGAATAGACACAGAACTACTGAAGAATCCTGGAAGACTCTTAATCTCATACAGTTACCTTGCATTTAAAATTTGCTGTACTCTTTATCATAGTAATAAAACTGTCAAAAGAATTTAACTGTTTATGGAAAGAATGATGACACAATGATAATAATAGTGATAGTGATAATAATAACTCTGACAGAGGGATTGTTGTGTCCTATGCATTCTGATGGGTGCCTTCCTTTAATCGCCTTTTGAGCTAGGTTGTCTTGGAAACTCTAGGAAGAACAAAGCTCAGTCTCCTACAGTCTTCTGGAGTTGATGCCTGTAGGTGCCATCACTGAGAGGATAGGAACAGGCATCAAAGCTCTGGATAGTCTGTAAGAGAAGTGAGGTGAAGGGCTGGAGGTGCATCATGGGGCTGAGCTGGACAGGTCCATGGGTTCCTGTGCTGGGCAACAGACAAGATGATCCTCTATCCTCACTGTGCCATGAAATGGGACCTTTCATTAAGGATAACATTTCCCCTAGCCCCACTGAAGAACGTCTGATGGGAAGTGCGGAAGTGATCTCACTAGGCATTTCAAGGAAATAACTAAAGTGAGAAAAATGAAGTGACAATCTATGAAAAGTCCGACAGCCTGGCAACAAAATGCCTCACAGGTTAGAGGTCATCTGGCTTCAGTTTTCCCTGCTGGGTCTGCACTCATGTTCCCTGAGTTCAGTACTTAGACCAGAGAGACTATAAACTTTGCTAGAGTATGAATTTGGCACAGTCGTTTCTTGCTATTTTGGCCAACAGCTCCTTTTGACTAGAATGTGGAAGAGCTCTCTCCCTGTGGGCCTAATTGCGAGAATTGTTTCGGATAATTAGTGACGTGAAATGAGGTATGTGCCATTTTGTTCTTCTCAACTCTGAAGTTCACTCCGGATACCATTTCAAAATATAGCCTTCCTGCTGACCTTGAAAATTAGTAGAAACGAGTGTTTCCTCTGGAGTTTGAAAATGTATCAGAGACAGATGTCACATTCTAGAAAGTGACAG